TGTTCGGTCTCTCTCTGTCTACAGTAACCTGCGCTTTACTGTAGCACTGCTAGAGTGCTACAGTAAAGCGCAGGTTACTGTAGACAGAGAGAGACCGAACGCATCTCTGCGTTCGGTCACCTGACGCAATAATTTGCCCTCTTTTAAGCTCTCTGGCTTCATTTGTGATGATTTTTTTTATTGCTTTTTAAAATAGAATTAGTGCAAAAATTAAGTCTTTATCATCTCTTATAAGGATGAATAAAGTAGAATTGGAACGTGCATAACTTTAAAGATAATAGAAAAGTCTCATTTTTTTAGAATTATGAACAAATATAATTATTGAGGGGGGACAAAATAGTTAAAATGAATTTTCTATTAAGAAAAAAAAATGATAGTAGTCAATTTTTCTTTTTGGATTTGCCGCTATCTCTATCAATTTTAAGAGAATAAAAGAACTACATTTTGAAGTAGGTTCTCTCTCAAATTGTAAGGAATTTGTATTTTTTTTTTTTTTGAAAAATATTATTTTATATTAAAAACATAATCTATGTATATGTAACATATCTAATAACTACGTTATGAAGAACTCTGGCAGTGATCGAGGTGGAAGTCTGGCGATGATCGACGAACAGGCGGAAGTCCGACGATTGGTCGGGAAGAACTTTGGCGGTGGTTGATGAAACTGGCGAAAGTCCAGCCATAGTCGAGAAGAACTCCAGTGGTAGTCGACGTCAAGTAAGCTCCCAAATTCTTCATTTATCTTCCTCCTTTATTCTCCCCCTTCATGTGAATAATGGAAGTCTATTTATAATTTTTTGAGAGTGTCATGACATGTAAATATGAAGAGGATCAATGTCAAGATGAAAGTGGTTTGAATGGACGGCTGATATTAATCTCTTTAATTATGAAATGGATGATATGACGTATTCTGATTAGCAGACCGCCTTGCAAAAAAAATAATAATTTAACCAAATCTAATGATGGCCTTATTTTTAACCAAACAAAATCTATGAAGTCATAAAGTGTTGATGGGGCTAGTTAATTATTACCCAGCCGTTACATTCATGAACAGGCTTCCTTAATATATTATTAATTGTAACCTCTGCAAGAAAGGGAGAACCCAAGGATGCTGGATTAAAGCTAAGCAAGATTCTCTGAGTTTACCGAATTTTAATATGCACAAAGGCTTAACAAAAGCTCCCATTACCTTCTGTAACAGTTTGATAACAAAGATGGCATCGTTCGTTAATAGCAAAGATTATTAAAATAAATATTCGAGCATGAAGTACGGTACTACGCATTTATGTGTTGATTTGGAAAGATTTTCAAATCTAAATTAGTTTTGATTTGGAAGGTTTTAATAGTTCATTATTGTAGTTGATTAGGAAATAGATTATTTTTCTAATTATGTTGATTTGATTGGAGATTTGATTGATGTTTTAATTAAGGGGATATAATTATTGCATTAATTAGGAATTTGATTGGGATTTGATTAGTATTAAATTAGGAATTTTTTTAAAAAATTTACTTTGGCTCAAGTCTATAAATAGGGTCTAAGGGCTATTGTATTGTATGCATGAGATGAGAGAAAAAGCTATTGTAATTCCCTATTTTCTCCAATATAGTGAAATCATCATCCCCTCCCCATGGACGTAGGCATCTTCACTAAATCACGTAAATTATCATATTCTTTATGTGTTGTGTGATTTTATTTCCGTTGTGATTGTTTGCACAACAATTGATATCAAAGATGATTTTTGGTGAGATTTCTGGTGGCCGCTTGAAGAACGGGAGATCAACCAGTTCTTTCTATTTGTGTGGTTCGTCCAAGCGAAGGAAGAGAGTCAGATTGGGATAATTCTAGCTACGTGAGACAACTGCAATTTGGTGGAGGCTATGTGATCTAGTTGAGCCATAGATATATCCACCTCAACGATAGAGAAGATGTCGATCCATCAGGTGGTTTCACATTCCTTCAAAATTGATGTGACAAAATTTGATAACAAAGGAAACTTTGGCATGTGATGATGTGAGGTGATGGATGCGTTGTATTCTTTAAATATGGAGAAAGTTCTGGAGAGCAATGAAAGTCCTGAGGAGATTTCAGAGAGAGATTGGCTCAAGATGAACCGGAGTGTTTGTGGATGATTTTGAGGATGCGTTGTATTCTTTAAATATGGAGAAAGTTCTACTGAGACAACAAATGCACTATAGAAGCTAGAGTTTGATGCAACTCCATTGTTCCACATAAGTCAATCATTTCAATCTAGATACATGATTCAACTACAGACTAGGAGGTAGAAGATGATTTTGAGGATGAGATTCCTACTCAGGAATATATTATGAAGAACAGGACCATGTATCAGAATATCTCAAAGTTAACTTGGTTGAGGGATCACATTGCATTTGCACTTTCATTCATGGAGGTTGAAGTTCCTAATCACTATATAGAAGCAGTGGATAGTCCTGAAAGTTATGAAAGTGGCTATGGATAAAGAGATGAAGTCTCTTCAGAAGGATGTTACTTGGAGGTTGGTGAAGCTTCCTCCATGAAGAAAAGCCATTGGGTGAAAATGGATGTGTGCAAAGAAGAAAAGATCTCATTGAGCTGATCTGCATTATAAGGTTAGGTTGGTGGCAAAAGGCTCTGTGCAACAGGAAGGGATTTCTTAAGATAATGTGTTCTCCCTCGTGGTTAAGAATCCCTCGATCTGTGGTCACTTGGCACTTGTAGCACATTTTGGTGTGATTTTGGACCAGCTTGATCCAAACATTGCATAAGCAAGTAGCGTTGTGAGTAGGTTCATACATGATCTAGGAAGGAGTTATTGGCAAGCTGTGAAGAGTATCCAAAGATATCTGAAAGGTACAATTGACGCATGTTTGGAGATAAAGTCACCACAACAATGGTGCATTACTCATGACTAATTGTTCACCTGTTTGAAGAACTACGCTCTGCTTGATCTCTTTGGAGAGGGTACGTATGCAACCATCTTGGTGCAATCATTCTAATATTGGAGCCTGAATTATCATCTCCTATTTTCTAAAGTGAAAGATGAGGCGAAAATTATTGATTTGGAAATATTTCCAAATCTAAATTAGCCTTGATTTGTGCCTTAATGGCTCATTATTACAATTGATTAGGGAATAAATTATTTCTCTAATTATATTGATTTGATTGATGCATTAATTAGAAAATCTAATTATTGTATTAATTAGGAATTTAATTTGAGATTTGATTGATGCATTAATTAAGGTGATTTAATTATTATATTAATTAGGAATTTTATTGGAATTTGATTAGGATTAAATTAGAAAAAATTTTCCTAATTTACTTTGGCTCAAATCTATAAATAGGGCCACAAGCTATTCTACTGCATGCATCAGATGAGAGAAAGAGCTATTGCAATTCCCTATTTTCTCCAACACAGTGAAATCTATCATCCTTCCACATGGACATAGGCATTTTTGCCGAACCGCGTAAATCGTCATGTTCTTTATGTTTACGTTGTGTGATTTTATTTCCGCTGTGATTTTTTGCACAACATTATGCTACAGTAATAATTTGTCTTCAAATTTCAACTTTACATCATAAATTAAAAGATAAACTGGGATGATGCGGCTCCACCCAAGAACAGTCAACCGATATGATTTAATCGGTTCAAATATCTTTGGGATAAACGAGAATAAAGATTTATAAGCGGGCTGAGATGATGTGAAAGGTGCTAATGGTAAATTCTCTACTGCATGCTACGGAATCATCCAATAACTCAGGATGCCTTCCTTCTGAAGAAAAAGAGAACCAAGAAAAGCAGAACAATGACTGGCCTAAAGATGCCAAGCTAGTGGGATTCAGACTCATCCCAGCCAAATGCTGACGAGAATTCTGTAGTCAAACAGCTCATGTGGAATTCACATTCACCGGCATCTTCTCCTTAGGAGGAAAGCAAAGTTTGCTCAAATAAAACCAACAAACAGGTCATACTACACTGTTTGAGATGCCATGTTGAAAACAAGACAAGTACAGTTTTTCCCCCTTTAATATTAGCTTACTGCCATCACTAACCAACTTCCTGGGAAAAGTTCACAACTATGCTGATATGAATTTTTAAAAGAAATGACCATAATTTTATATAGTATTTCAATGAAAATACACACATTAGAAGGTTAAACCATTTTCAGAATAAAGAATTTTTTTTTTTTTTTTGTGATGAGGAACCGTCCGCTGCCACCCTCGGGCTAGCTGAGAGTGCTTGGCGATACGTAAACCCCGGTCAGCCTAGACGAGCTGCCCACACCCATTAGAACTCATGGCCAACGCTTATTGGATCCCCCAAAAGGGGCGCTGTCGTCTGGGGGAACCGAACACGGGATGGGGAGTACCCAACCGTGCTCGCCCATCAGAATAAAGAAACAATACCAGTTTAAGCTACACACCTTTACAACAAATTATTACATTGCAGCATGGATACTAGAAAAGCAATATATTTATGGTGATCAAAGAACCAAGCATAGAAACAAACAATACATTACTTATTCCAACACAAAACCTTACAGTTTCCTATACTAAACAAACAATATGATAGTACAAGATGGTGGCATAGATTCCCTGCACCTTTGAGAAATTATTATAGAAAGCTTGATGACCCCTGCTGCTCCTGTAGGTGCAAGTGAACATCGAGAGATGGTAAAGCTAATCCATTGATAAAAGCTTCCGTAGCTTAGCCCTCAAATAATCAAAAGACCTTATGTGACAATGGCATAAGCAATCAGTCTCCTTAGCAAAAACTACCAAAAAGCCCCATGAACAGTTTTGGTAGGCAATACACGTTCTGTTTTCTATAGCTTGCAAGTTGTATGTACAAGTAAATGATATTCAAGTTCCCTAGATGTTTAATTAAGCCATGATCCCAAACTTTGGAAGACTTTATTGTTCAGCCTAAGCCAATACCATGGGCATAGATAGAAGCAAATCACCTGATTTTTTTTTACAGATCAAACTAAAATTTCAACATTCTGAAGTGAATATACTTCATTATAGAATGGCAAGAGGAGAGTAAGGCTCCGTTTGGGACGACTTTTTTTCTGCTATTAAAGCAACTTTTTAATACAAAAATTTAAATTTTGTACTAGAAAGCTGCTTTATGAAGCAGTAAGAAAGCCGTCCCAAACGAAGCCTAAATCCAAAGGATAAAAGAAACATGATAAGCTAAATAATATCTGCTCCAGGGCGGAAATTCTTGTAAGCCTTCTAAAATAACACACCATTTTGCCCACCAATAGATCCATTGAGATTTCTATGAAATGAGCTCTGAGCCTGAAGTTTCATTCCATATGGAAGGATTCCATAAGATGACTGAATAAACTGATTACCATTAGTTGGACTAAAGACACTAGCTGCTTCACTGTGCTGTTTGGAATCAACAACCATGGAGAATTGTTCTGAGGCCGCTGGAGCTGAGGCAGAGCTTGATTGCATAGTTGCTACTGATGGTTGGGATGGAGAGGGAGATCTGTTATCTTCGAGAGAGACGGTGGTTATGTCGTGTATGCTGGCTCTCCTCTTGTCTTTGGTACCAGAGTTAAGCCTGATGAAATACTTCTGCGCATGGCTAGCCACTTGTGTTGGAGTCCTTGTAACAACAAAATTACGAGAGATGTTTCTCCAGTCACCTTTACCATATTTTTTCAGACCAATCAAAAATCTCCTGCCGATAACAAAAAATTAAATATCTATAGCACATAAATTTCATTGGAGCATTCAAGAAAAAATATCAAAACAGAATATAGAAAAGGTTACATAACGAATAATAATAAGAAATGGAACAATACTTGTGTTCTTCTTCAGTCCAGGGGACTCCTTTTTTCCTCTCATGATCTGCAAGCCTTCCTCCCAATCTCTTCCCACCAACAAAACAAGCTTGCCTCAAGCCATCAAAGCCATGATCATTTTCCCAATCCAAAGTGAAAGATGAAGAACTATAGCCTGGAAAGGGAATCAGCCCAGCTTCAATACAAGTCACATCTTCTTCCAAATCCTGGTAATGGGACATGACATCCTCGACTGTTTTACCAGGGATCATCTCAGCCACCTTCTCCCATCTGTCAGGCATGTCTTCATCGAAATGCGCAAGAGCATTCTCAAATAACTTGTTTTCCTGCTGAGTCCAGTTCCCGCTCTTTCTCTCGCCAAGAATCCATTTTGAATTGGATAAATAAGAAGGATAAGGAGATATAACCTCCATCCACGAGTTTGTCATCATCCAATAACACTGCCAGTTTAGAAGGAGAAGCAAATCCAAGGTAAATCAATGCATAGCAATTTATATGGCTCCCTCAAAGAATCCGGACAAAACAACCAGCTCCCCAAAATTCGAGTGGTTAGGGAGACTTTGACTACCAGATTGTAAGAAGCTCAGCAGAACCAATAAAAAAAATGAATCGACACTATAGCTGCCGAGAATTCAAGTACAATTCGCTTTCCAAAATAATAGAGACAATCAAATGCCACTCAACATATGGAACCCTAGAAAACCCAGATGGAAATCAGATCTGGCCCTCGGGACTCGCCTAGTAAGAAGAATCAGTGACAAAGAAAGCCCACCCGCTTGATTTTAAAGGCGCGATGCCCGGAGAAGAAAGTAAAGATTTTGTCATCCAGAAGCTTCTGCAACAAGTTCAAGATCTTCTAACGTGCAAAGCAACTCCAAGAACCAGAGAACCACCGGCTCATCAACTGATGTAACCCGACAACAGCAACAGCAAGAGAAGGAGAAGAGAGAGAGCCCACGATGAATAGAGAAACAGAGCAAAAAAAACAAGGAAACCAAAGACGAAGAAGAAATGAGGATGTAAAAGGAGAGATTTTTCTAACCTTTATCTCGAAGTCTGAAGCTGAAGTAAAAGGTACAACGAAAGCTCGAAGAGGTAAGGAATCTAAATACCTCTCTCCCTCTGTCTCAGCCTCCAGTTCTTATTCCATTTCTACTGTTGGAGATCTAAAAGGGTACGGGAAGAGAAGGTGGACGCTGAATGGACCCTAGCGGACTAGCGGCCACTCAGCCATGGAACCTTCCTTCTCTCACATTCGCTTATATGAAGATCCCATGGTTTAGGAAAAATTAAGTACCTAATTATTCATTAAGATAGCCTAATAGTATTTGTCTGCTGAGTTATGCAAAATGCTTAAAAAGGTTATTTTTTTTCTCACGATTCTCTCCTTTTCTTTCACATTAATTGTATATTCAAAGTTCAAACCAATTAATGTTCACCTACTATTCAACAATATAATTTTGCTGGTTCTTTCGAATCCATTACTTCACTTACAAAGGGTAATTTATAGCCGAGAGTCTGAGATCAGCTTATTATTTAATTTAAAAATTTAAATATATATCAATTTATAACATCCTATTTATATATCTAATACCCAAAATTTTAATATTACATACATATCACCTTATATTATTTTAATATCAAATATACCACTTATATTTTTTTACTACCACTCATATGTTTCATTTCTATCACTTTGATATGAAAATGAACTATGATGGTATGTATATAATATTAAAACTTTAGGAATTAAATATGTAAATATAATAATATTATGTGGTATGTATATAAATCTTCCTAATTATTATTATTATATATGGCTTAGATTAAGTTAAATTAAGTAATATGAATTTTTAATAAGAAATATGTAATCCTTAATGAAGTAATCTGAATTTTTAAATCTGCTATGAAATCCATAATTTCGAATAAGATTGGGCCTCAGTAGAAAAGAATCAAGAGAAGGAATAACCTTAACTTATAACATGAAGCTATAAGAGCATTCAAAAAAGAGATGATGAGTGGATTCCCTTGCATTGAAACATAAACTGCAGATAGGATGTACATCAACATGCCTAATTACCAATTCATTAGCCGGCTAAAGGCCACCCATCAAAGCCATCCAAGAAAAGACAAAAAACCTCATGGCATATTTTTTGTGCCAAACAAAATTAACCCAAGATACCTTATTATGCTCACTTAACTGAGAAAGCATAAAATATTTATTAGTAGGTTTACTACAATCCATCAAGCAGACATGCATTTTGATGCATAGCATCTTAGTAAAAATACTCATTAGACTTAATTGTTTTAAGGTTGTTACATGTATCTAGAACCTTCTAGTTTCTCTTGCTGGTTTATAAGAACAACAGTTGCAAGTAGGAAGAATGAATGAATATTTTGGGATTAGCTATGTTTTCACTGTTTTAGTCTTCCTGCTCTTAGGAGTTGTGTTTTGTGATGGTTCTTCAATTATCTCATTATATTAGATGGTATCAGAGCCAACTTTCTTCCTTAACGTCAATTAGGGCCTTGGGCTACTGCTACATCAATCATTGATATCGATCGGGGTATTGGATGCTTTGGGAAGACAATGAATGAAGACAGGCTGTCGATGACTTCGAAGCCCCCCCCAGCCGATAACCATACCAACAAATCTACACATCCCCCATCGGCAACCATACCAGCAATTCAATCTTCTGTTAACCATACCATAGTGAATCCACCGATGGTAACAATGCCATCTAAAACGCCTCAGAATCAAATTGGAAGAATGATCTATTTATCATTTTCAAAATATATCAGAGCTTCTATAAATAATCAATATAAATAATAACTAACGAAAGCAATTAAAATTATATACATCTAGAGACAGATCCAACTTCTTTTTTGAGGGTAGGCAATATTTTAGTTAATTAAATTACTTAACAACAACAACAACAACAATAATAATAATAATAATATATAGAAAATTTTTATCATTTAACTTCCATATAATATTGGTTTTAGTAATATAAATTGGAGTATAATCATGTAAGTTATATTGAACCTATATTATAACTTAGAGAAAAATAATAATAAATTAGCTAAAAGTTATCTAATTTAGAAAAAAAGAGATAATTAAACTATAAAATATGGATGAAAACTTGAATATAAAAAGCTTCAAAGTGCCCAACACATATATTCATGGAAGAAGAGAATAGGAAAAAAATTCAAAAAATAAAAAATGAAAGCTATCATTTCGTAAAGTTGCTTGTATGCTACATAGTCATCCCTAGTACTCTTGCATCCGTGCATTGTCAAATCAAAGGCAATACAAACCCAACTTATAAACCAATAGTCATTTCTTTCTTTTTTTTGGGAAATTTCATTTCTTTCTCAATTTGGATAAAACTTACCTCCTTTTATAGAAACTAGAAAGTAAGGACCTTATATTTTTTTATAAGATAAAGATATCATTCAATGAGTATATTCAATAATTTGGGCAAAATATTTTTTTATAGGGGTCAAAATTTTAAATTTATCCTTTATATCATTATGTGGGCTTTTTTTTTTTTTTTTTTGAGGGTGGGCATTTGCCCACCCTGGGCTCTATGAGGATCCACCCATGTATACATGAAAATATTTTATTATCTATTCACCCAAAATGTCATTTATACTAACCAATAAATCACTTTACAAAAGAATAAAGGAAAATACGGAACCAAAATTTAAAGAAAACCTGAGGATCTCTGACAATTTCACTCCAACAGGTTATGATTCCTTACTTGGCATGAAATCATTAAAAATTCAGAGAATATGCTTAAAAGCCCCGCAGTAATCCAAAATTCAGTAAAGCTTTCAATACAAAGACTAAAGAATTAATATGATATGTTCAGTCTAATATAAGCAATAGCAGTCAATGACTAAATATTATTACTAAAATTTAAAATGATCAATAATAAAAGTAGGGAATCATTACAATGAATCTAAAAATTAATAATTTATATAAAATTTAATAAATTGATAAAATAACAATGTAAAAATCATTCATTAATCACTAATATAAATTATTTTATATATTCATATGCATAATCTATTTATATATTATCAATGCATTCAATACTATTAATGAGATTAATGTATACGTGATGTCATAAGTGTTATAAATATATGCATGTATTAATATATGATTTAGCAAGATAGGACATCCAGCTTTAACAAGGTATTTTTAAAACCTTTTATCCCAACTGATTCATAGTTGGTCATCAGTCATATCAATTATCACGTATTCAGTTGGCTTCATTGAATCAAAAAAAGTTATTACTCTCTATTTATCGGCTTAATCGGTCATCTATTACAAGTTATAACAGATATAACACCATAAATGATTTTTAAAGAAAAGCTCATTGGCTAACCCTCATGCTTAAGTATTATGTTTTAATAGCCAACCCTTTTTATAGTATTAACAATCAGCCTTTCTTACTTATGTAAATGCCACAATCAAAATGTAGTTAAAAATAATCAATTATGTTCAATATAAGACATTTTAGAAAATAATGAAAATTATCGAAAACTAAAATGAGATTTGAGTTATTTATAATAAATAAAAGAAATATCTGAATAAATTTGAAGGATGAAAAAGCACCGAACAATATTCTCTCTTTTCTCTCTCTCTTCTTCGACAAAGCATGACGCTGAAATTTAGATTTTTCATTTAAAAAATTTGGATTATTATACCATTGGACATCTTTCGGCACGATCTGCCAACTGCAAACAAAGTCCGCCAGTGGCCTTGGTAGAGCCCCTCATGATCGACCCCTTCAACAGATGACCTCTTTAATACCAAGCCCTCATCAATTGTCCCCTTCAAATACCTCAAGATACTCTTGACAACTTGTTAATGACTTCTTCCTGCATCATGTATGAACATGCTCACAATGCCAAATGTTTGTACAATGCTTAGATTGAATTGGTTCAAAATCAGACCATGATGTGCTACAAGTGTCAAGTGAATATGAGTCGAGGGATGCTTAATCACTAGGAAGAATACCTCATCATAATCAATAACCTTTTGCCATTAACCTAGCTTTGTACTGTACATCAATTCCATGATATCCTTCCTCCTTTTCACATACATCAACTCGCTCCCTTTCTGCTTCTAGTAATTATAAAAATAATAATCAAAAGCACAGCCTTTCTGAACACGTAAAAGTTGGACTTACGTGTGTGCCTGTGCTTTGCAAGATCCAAACTCATGCAAGATCAGAATCCAAATCTGCTCTCGTGCGAGCTGCTCCCATGCATGATCCTCTTGTACATACACTCATCACATGTGCGGCCTTCGCGTCTCCTGTCATGCGTGAATCGAATACTACACGAAACTGCAAGACCTTACTCTCCCATTCGAAACATTGCACTTATTTATTCAGCATTTAGGTGACTTACATGCCTCAAAATCAAATGATCTTGAGCCCATTGGACTGGTTTAGTCGTGCCACTCAATTTGATTATATGCAGACGATCTTTAGAGACCATTGGATCATTTACTTAATATCTTGAAGTTTCTAAATAAGCTTCAACTGATTTATATGGGTTAAGTTGGATTTAAATTCAATCAATTTTGGTATTGTTGTATTCATCTTATCTAGATGTTCAGTTCGACTATAAATTTATTAAAATTAAAGTGCAACTAATTAATCTTGATTTAATTTTAAAAAATTTTAATTTAAATATTATTTCAAAATTCATATTTTGTCATTGACAGATAATTTTTTAAATGCATATCAATATATATGATTGCTTTGTTATCATACTATTTATCTAATCCCAGCATTGTTAGGCGGAAACTCATCAGTACATTGAAATAATGAAATTATCAATTCATTTGATCATATGCTTAATTTGGAGTTCGGAAGCCGTGTTTGTGGTTTCAAAGCTTCAACAGTCTGACTATTAATGAGGAGTGTGAAATAAAAAAAAAAATTAAACTAAAGTCTTAAATATTGTGAGGTGTAACGGTTGGAATTTCATTAGAAATGTTGTGTCCTGGAATATTCGTAACGGTAGAGAAATATACAATTTAATGTCTTAGCATTGTACGAAGATCCAGAACACAAGCAGATAAGTGAGAGGGTGTGGCATTCATAAGAGCACCAGAGTTTTTACGTGGAAAACCCCTGAAAAAGGGAAAAAACCACGGGGCCTGGCCCAGTTTGAATGAATACACTAGTATTTATAGTCGATTACAAATGAGGTCCTTCCTTAGGAGAAG